GCTTTGCTGTAGGGAGGCTGCAGAAGCTGCCTGGGGACGTTCCTCAAACCGATAGGCTAAGTACATCAAAACGCCTGAGCCTGAATCAATTTAATCTTTTCAGGTTAGTCTAACCTGCATAGATTGAGCCAGCAAACAAGAGAATAGACATTCACTTTTGATTCCAGAAATGCAGGCACATGCCTATAGTAGCTAGGTCAGAAGCCAGCGCATGCTAGGGCAAGTGCTTGGCTGGAGAGAAACTGAGCTGGGGGGTGGGGAGGCATAGCCAGGCCCCAGCATGCTGAGTACGATTGAAAAGGGATTTAAACCACTACCCTGGCATGCGCAGCCCCCAGTTGGGGTGTGCCTGGAGGGGGAAGGGGGAAGCAGCCCCTGTCAGGCATTCCCCACCTTCCCTACATGTCGCTCAAGTGCTTCGGGGCATGGCCAGCCCTGGTAGCAGCCTCAAACAAAGGGGAGATGGAGGGGGGCTTAATTTTGCCTTCTCTTCCCTGTCCCATCAACATGGACCCAAGCCATGGTCTGCCAGGCTGGGGTGGAGCAGCTGGTGTCAGGGTTCCCCCTCTTCACTGATGCAATGGCAGGGATGATGGCGTGGCCAGACACCAGCTGATATGGGCCCCTGAGGCAAAGGGGGCAGGGAGGGGGTTTATTCCCCTCTCCCTCCTCTCTATTTCTAGGGAACCCAAGCTGGGGTCTGCGTGGCTGGGGGCTGGCAAAACCTGGCTGTGGACCCCAGCTGCATCTGGCCATGCCCCTGCTACTGCAGCAGTGAGGGGTGCGGGGAGACCCTTGCATGGGCTGCTCCGCCCCAGCCAGCCAGACCCTGGCTGCAATCTGTGCCGGTAGGACAGGGGAGGGAGAGGGAAATTAAATCCCTCTCCATTTCCCCGTTCATTTAAGGCTGATGCCAGGGCTGGCCATCTCCCCTGCCGCTTAAGCGGTGAGCAGGGCCAAGTGTCTGACAGGGGCTGCTGCGCCCCTGCCTGGGAGACCTCAGCTGGGGTCCATGCTGGTGGGACAGGGGAGGGAGCGGGGAATAAACCCCTTCCCTGCCCCCTTCAACTTAGGGAAGCTGGCATCTGGCCATGTCCCCACCACTGCTCTGGCTAGAGAGCAGAGGAGCAGAGCTGGTCATGCTCCGCTGGAGCAGACAGCACAGCCCAGCCCAGCCCAGGGCTGCAGAGTATGCTGGGATGCTGGGGGACTCCGATTTAACTTAAACCAGGAAGGGGTCTGGGACAGAAGTTCCATAACTGACTGAGATCACACCAGTTTAAGTTTGATACTATGTTCGACCAGGTTTATCTCAAACAAGTTTCAGCCATTTTGAAACTGGTTTATGTGCACTGAACTTCTTTTCTGTTGCAGGTTTAAACCCATTTCTGATCACTTAAATCAGTTTATGTGTAATTTCTCTACCTTCTCTTCCTAGCCATAGAGATGGTTTTCCTTTGTGTTATAGCCCAGTTCAATGATATGCATTTCCCACTGAGTGTCGATAAAACAGTGGCTCTAGAGGGAAGCCGTCAGCATCATCCCTACTCTACTATCAACAGAAACAACCAGTCAGGGGAAAAGAGGCAAACCAGTGTCTTAATCTTCAGAGGGGTTTGCTGGGGAGACCCTGCTGATTTGGGAGGGTAGTTGTTATATTTTAGATTAATATCAATCATTTAAAAGATTTAATTAAGGTTTGATAACAGAGAGAGATTATTTATCTCCTGTATAACTATTAATCCTCTATGACTATTTTAATAACGGTTTAGTATTTAGCATAGAATCTTTTCTTCTTATATCTAAATTAAACACATTCTGGAAGCATTTAACTTAAATTCTTATGAAAATTACATTTACAAGCATAAGCACATGTACATGTCTTGCAGGCATACACTTATTCATGCTCAAGTGAATGCAGAACTGCACACACACACGTACATCACAGGCTATACACACAGACCTCATGACTGCATACATACATATTCATAAGCATGTGTAGTTACTTCATGGCACAAATGCATGCCTATATACACAGAGATGGAAAAACACATCTAGGCCTATATCATCTTTACAGATACACATGTGAATACCAGTCCTCATTTTTGCTAATTCATACACGTGCTGTTACACAAACCACATATGTACATAGAATATATGCTGTTCTTTTGTGGGCATATGCACAATGGGAGGCAATTGTTTCCTCAGAGAAAACTTAAAGAACACTGTGTAGTGAGAGATCTTTAAGACAAGGACAAATATATAGCTTAAGAGAAACTTCAATAGGAACTCTGTGCTTTTGATGTTTAACCAATTTTCTATTGATTTCTTTAGGGCATTGAAACTTTAGAAAATCTTGTTAGTACTCATCTTCTTTTTCTCATTTGCTGGGCCACTCAATAATTTTCTTAGCCAGAGCATGAAAAGCACTAGAATTCAAGGATGATCAAAAATAAATTATGTTTGGGAAAACATATTGAGGAGATAAAAGTGTAAAATCAGGAACTCCCAAGCCTCTTATTTGTTCCCACTACTTGCCAAAAGCCTCTTCAGCTCCCCATTGATAGAAATCTGCTTCCTTATTCAAAAGTGTTTTCCCCAAAACACACTGAGACATGAAAGTTGCAAAGCTGAAACTTCTCAAGAGATGGTGAAGTGGATAAGTCAATCTTGAATGCTTATTTAAAAATAATGAGCACAATGCATCAATCTCCAAACAGGACTATGCAGGGCTATAGGGAATGAAGTGTGAACTATATCAACATTCAAGGAACTCACATCAGGTGAAGAGCCACAGAGGATCCTGTAGTGAGCCCGGATACTTTATCTGCTGCTGCCTCTATCCCAGTGGACTGTAGACAACTACCCCAGACTGGACAACTATAGCCCTAAGGGTCTTTTTACCACCTGTGAATAGGCAGAGGACATTATTCCCCTGGACAGACCCACTCCTACCACACTTTCTACAACTGAGGTTGCAGGGGTCAGTAGAGCAGGAACTGGCTGCTGGGGTAGTCTCTTTGACTGCCAGATCTTTGGCTTACAGGTGAAAAACTGGGCTAGACATCAGCTTTCTGTCTGACCCTGGAGCCCAAACCTTAAGAACATTATATAAACTACCCCAATTTCTGGAAGTTGCAAGGTTGGACTGAAAATCACATGGCAACATTCCTTTTTGAGACCTGCCACTCTGTCCAAGAACACTGTCAGGAAAGCTTTTTCCTAACTGTTTTAGTAGTCGTGTTATTCTTAGCATTATGGCTGCTACCTGCTGGCTCTCGTTCAGACACAAGGGCTTCAGCCACTTGTTTTTGCTAGATTCTACAAGCCCTAGGGAGCCGCAGAATCTGTCAGCTCTGGATTTCATGATCGCCTTCTTCCTTTACTGAGGATGACTCAATTTAGTAGTCTATGAGGGCAAATCTACCTTGCCTTTTGCATTTATTGCATAGATTTTCCTTCTGAGGCAGCCTCCCTGAGCAGTAACTGATTCTTTTCCTCCTGTCACAGTGCAGCCCTCCCCCAGCCAGCCAATATGACTTTAATAGACTCAATTTACTCCTACAGTCATGAGTCTAGCAGCCAGGTTACATTTTTCTTCACAGGAGGAGTCTAGTAGGAAGGCAGCCGTTGGAAGTGAGTTAATATTGTGCAGTGTATGCAGGGAATGTGACAGCAGGCAAGTAAATGAAGAGGTACGCATTGTGGAGGCAACAGCTCTGTAGTTAATAGACACAAGAGCCCCGCACATCTTATCTGTGTGATATAGAGTGATTCACAGGCAGTGATCACAGGTGATACAGGTTAGGCTTGTGCGAAACGGCAAGTATTCGGATTCGGCCAATTCAGAGGACAGTGATTCGATTTGGAGATTTGAATCACTGTCCTAATTCGATTTGGCCAAATCAGATCCGAAAGATTTGGTGCCACTTTGGAGATTTGGCCATAGACTAAACAGGCAGCTGACAGCTGCCTCCAGCTGGTAGGTTGGTTGGGGGAAGGAAAGGGCGTGGAGGAGGGCGGGATTGGGGCTGGGGCTGGGACAAGCTGCCCACCTGGAGCAGGGGCGCGGGACTTGGGGAGGAGGTCGGTGGGGGCAGGATGCGGGTGCAGCAGCGCTCAGAGTGGGGGCTCTGCCCTGCGGCCGCTTGTCCAGCTGGGGTGGGGGAGGGGCGGGATGCAGGTGCAGTTCGTTCTGGCAGGAAGGGGGCAAGTTGCTGTAAAGCAGAGCCCCTGCTCCCAGCGCTGCCGCACCTGCATCCCACACCCCCCCAGGGACTCTGCTCTGCCATTGCTTGCCAGCTGGCAAGGAGAGACAGGCGCTGCCGCCCCTTACCGTGCCAGTGCGGG